ATATATATATATATACCATAATATTCAACTTATTATTAAATCAGTTTTGCGAAATAATACTTCTGAAATAATATAAAATTAAATTAAGAATGAATTAAATTATTTATTAATAATATTTTTTAATTGCTTATTTTATCATTTATCCTTTTTTCTCATATTCCTAATTTTTTTTCCCAACGATATACGTTTTATTTTATTTTAAACGGTTTGTTTTATTAATACATGCAGAGTATATAATTCTCGCAACCGATGGAGCTAAGGGTTTGATATATTATGCTTTTATTAATACACCGAGCCAAGAGAATATTGAGCTGACTCCTTTCCCAATCACCATCGAAGGAGGGCTCCGAGGAGTGGAATATGATCCGGTAGAGAAATACATTTATTGGACAGAAGTAAAGACTAATAAAGTCAAGCGAGCCTGTCTGAACGGGTCTGATGTTGAAGTTGTACGTCCAAACACAAGTATGTATTTTTCATTTTAGATTAATTTGTTTTAATTAAAGGCAAGACCTTTCAAATTAGGCATGTTTGATTATGCATCGATTATTAACCAATGCTAAAATCATTTATACAAGATATTGTTTTTATTGTTTCTTATGTTATTTAGAAACACAATCTTTGGTCATTGATGCTGTCAATAGGAAAATATACTATAGTGGAACAGTATCTAAAAAGGTCTTTGAAATGAACATGAATGGTAGTGGTCACAAAGTATTATCTAGTACCCCCAAATTGAAAGAACCATCAGACATCGCTATTGACCTAACAAACGGGTAAGAAAATTATCATTCTTTTCCCGTTTTCGCTGTACTGTTGCTGCAGAACGCATATACGCTTTAAGTGTCAATTATATTACTGTATCGTTAAATACAAAACATAATACGGATCAGTAGTTTCAAAATACATAAATCTGAATGTTTACTGCCTTTATTTCATATTTGATATTAATCATGCTACTTAATTGTTTATATATCCAAATAGGTATCTTTACGTCAGTGATGTGGGTCAAGATGTCATTGAAAGAATGTTAACGGATACAGGCAAAGACCGACAAGTCGTTGTGTCTGGTCAAAAGGTGAACGGTATTGATGTGGATTTGTCAGGTAACAAATATATTTGAAAAATTTCGATGATAACAATTTAATATATTCCTAACGAGAACATTTATTTAGAGCTCGCGCAGTACTTCTGTTTTTCGCCATACAAAAACGTAACTTACATCTCTGCTTATCTTGTTACAGATTGTCGTTTGTATTGGACGAATCGTGTTGAAAATCAAATACGTGGAAGTAGTTTTTCGGGTTCTGACGAAATAACAATTGCCAATTCGACATCATTACCACAATTGACAGAACCTGTTGACGTGAAATCACTTGGAGAATACCTTTATATTTTGTCAAACTCAAGTGAAAAACTAATCCGAATATCAAAGAATGGAACTAATCTGGAATATATTGGAAACAGTGTATTTTCAGAACCGGAAACTCTTATTATTCGGAGAGGTATTAAGTTGATAGGTTTTGATCTAAATATAGACTTGCAGTCGTGTTTACAACGGTTTAGTATTAATTACCAAAAATAACATTCTTCGGTTAGGAACTTAACATTTATCTCAGTTTTCTTTCTATTCTCTAGTAAATAATGCAAGAATACCAACAACCTGTAAGGAACTAGAGCACGGCAGACCTAGTGGTAGGCCAGGAGGACAAGGCAGACCTAATCAACCTGGTAGGCCTGGCAGACCGGGAAGACCTGGTGGACCAGGAGGACCAGGTAGGCCTGGTAGACCAGGACAAGGTGGATCTGGCAGACCAGGAGGGCAAGGTAGACCAGGTGGACCTGGTAGGCCGGGAGGAGCAGGCAGACCTGGTCAACCTGGTAGGCCAGGTAGACCTGATAGACCAGGTGGACCAGGAGGGCAGGGTAGACCAGAACATGGTGGATCTGGTAGACCAGGGGGACATGGTAGACCCGGCAGACCAGGAGGGCATGGTAGACCTTTTAGTGTTGGAGGGCAAGGTGGACCTGCTGAGTGTGGACTTCCTAAACATGGTAGTGCTGGTAAGTTAAAATACAACGTTGGAAATATAATGATGGTCAGTACTATACATATAATTCACAGAAGAGGGCGTATCTCATGGATCTCCCGCAGTATGCCGCTTGCAATATTAGTGCTATATCAAAATCGTGACGTGAAGTACGTTGAAAAAAAAATTAAAGGAATTTAAATTCTATCTGGTGCTTGAATTGCCGCAATGCTTCGTGGTCAAACGTTTCGTCTATTATTTTCCTAATAAGTTTCCAGGCAACTGTAATATAT